CTCCATGTATCCTAGCAACCCCTCTCCGAGGTTACAGATGTGATGCCTCCCACACCTGTTGCACAGCCAGCCTGAGGCAAGTTACACATGGCTTTCTTCCCAGCTCATCCCGATTAAGGAGTGGGGGAATGTGCCACAAGCAGCCGATGGGTGTCACACACAGGCACCCTGGACACCAGGACTGGCTCCTGCCTGTCCTCTGAGAAAAGAGTTTTGTGATGAAGGCAAGAAAAAGGGGGGTGGCCTTCATCCCTGCCACAAAAATGTGCCATCCCTGCCTGATGTGCCATCGCTCAGGTCCTGCACAGACATCTAAGCAAGATTTCCAAAAGAATTTTAGGTCCAAAAGAGGCACAGCGAACAAAACTTGACTCCTCCCATGGCCTTCCCTCCAACCTGAATGAGCTTCATTATAATTACAGTAAATGAGTTTGTTAAAAGAAAAAAAGGCAAAAAGCTGCTCGAAAAGCAACCTTTTCAAGGAGTGATGCTACTCCAAAGTACCATTTAGCATTTTCAGTTTCCTGTGGGGGGGAATACTATAACCACCAAACATAAAAATTTTGCTCTGCAGAAAAATAAAAACCAAATTTAATCCAAAATTAAAAGGTAGAAAATCAATTACACACATCTGTTGAAGGGGAAATTTGCAGTTTTGCAAAATTTACTTTCTATACCTGTGAAAATTGTCCTTTCTTGATGATTCTCCTGCTCATAAAATTAGATTTCCTTTATTTGGCTATCAGTGATCAAATCATTTAACCTGCAATATCTATTTCTCATGTGAACCTCAGTTATCTTAATTTATCACTTAATTTATCTGCATTCCTGAAAAACAATGAAAACCCGTAAATCTTTTGCTGTGGTTTTTTTTTTTTGTGTGTGTGTTATTGCACTTATCACTGCTGAATCCACCTCATTCTAATATATCCAAAGAATTCAAGGGATGCCCAGACCCTTCTGTCCCCAAGGCCAATAGGGAAGATGAGGTTGTCACTGCTCAAAGACACATAACTTGCAGTAGAGCTCTCTTATTCATCTTCACAGAGGAAAATATGGGATACTTTTGTCCTAGGTTGTAAGGTATGATTTTGGACTTGTATTGTATTTCCCATCTGGCAGAGGTGGGGCAGGTCTCTTCTGTTCATTGAGCAGTTTTCTTTATCTCTTCCACAACCCATCCTCCCTCCAGGAGATCTCTTCTGTTCATGGCCAATGAGTGTCCCTGCATGGCTGATCAAACTCCATCATCCCACTGGGAGATGCCCTGCCCAGGGGAGGAGCCAAGCATTCCTACCTGGATACAATCTGACCCTGGGAACACCACAGCAGCCTTTGCCCACTGCATTCCCAGAGGAGCAGCTTTCTGCTCCCCTGCATTCCCAGAGGAGCAGCTTTCTTCTCCCTGCATTCCCAGAGGGACACCAGGCCCATCTCCAGCAGCCCTGGAGCTTCAGAGGAAAACTCCCCCCTTGTGCAGGATCCCTGCTCCAGCAGAACCACAGCTGGCACTGCAGGAGGGCTGAGCCACCATGGAATGGGACTGTGCCACCACCCTGACACACAGGGGATCAGGGCATGTTCTGACTCTGGCAGTGGTGTTTTGTATTACTGCATTGTTTATGTTATTTTTATTTTCTGCCCTAATAAAGAACTGTTACTCCTATTCCCATATCTTTGCCTGAGAGCCCCTTAATTTCAAATTTATGGTCATTTGGAGGGAGGTGGTTTACATTTTCCATTTCAGGGGAGGCTCCTGCCTTCCTTAGCAGACACCTGTCTTTTCAAACCAAGACACTTCCTAAATGGTTCTGGCACCTGTGAGTTATCCCTCTTTCCCCTCTCAGGCAGTAATGAGATGCAGCCATCAGGTTCCCTCTCTGTTTGGAGTGCTCCAAACACAAGCACCAATGGTGCCCTTTCCCTGGGTAAGCTGAGGCTGAGTGCCTGGTGACCTGCAGTGGCTCCTGGGCAAGGGCTAGAAGAAGCTGGCACACCTTCTGCCTCAGCACCACCTACTCTGCTCATCTCAGGCTGAAGATCACAGCCAGGATGTCAAACCCTCCTTTTCACTGTGAGGCTATTTGGCAGCTGAATCTGCACACTGAGATGAGTCCAGCTGAGATGGCAGCAGCCACTTCATTAGTTCAGTGTCAGTTCAGTTTTGACACATTTGTGGAACCATTGACTAAGTTTTTTAAAAAGTGAGAACAGCATTTTTATAGCTAAGATTTTTTGCAAGTATCACACGCATTTTAGGACACGGTCCTGGGCTAAGCTATACAAACAAAACTCCCTTGTGGTTTGACAGACATTATGAGTGAGAATTGGATCATGTTTTCTGTGTGAGATAAAACTAACTGCCTTCACAGTTGTCATTTTTTTTATAGTGCAAGGGAGGAAATTCAAGCATTTAAAGTTACATTTAAATATGAAAACTTGATAGACATATCTGGCAATAAAAACACAGCTGTTAACAACACGTAGAAAATACTGCAGTGGTACAGCACAGGAGGCTGAAACTCTGTGTCTGAGGAGAAGCTGCAGGTGAGAGCAGCTTCCTCATTTATTTAACACAGGGAGTAGGGCTTGTGTTTGTACACTGTACAGCACTAGGCAGAAATACCCTCAGGAGCCTATCATCCAGCACTGCACGAATAAAAACAGAATTTCCCAGACTCTGGTGAACAAGGCATAAGCCCTGGAATGACAATGCTTCACATGCAAGACAAGAGCCATGTAATATTTTACTCAAATGGAAGAGATGCACGACTCAAAGCCAGTCTCTTCAAATCTGCAGTGGACTTGAAGAATGTGAGCCCATGGGGGCTGCTTCCTTTTCAGTTTAGCAGCTCACCCGTGGTTTCTGGGGTAAAACTAAAGAATAGCTTCAGATACTGCTGATCCATCACTGCCTTGCAACACCACCAACTCCCACATCCACCAGTTATATTTATGCAGCTCCTAGTGCTAAGGATGTGTCAGGAAAATTAATGAAGGATGAGCATGCTCTGGGAAGAGCATGCACAACAAGAGAGGGGTTGTGGTTAAAATAGCCCAGTGCATCTTCACCAGTGCACAAACTGGTCAGAGAACAGCTGCTGCAGAGACTCATGAGGCCCTGCCATGGCAGCTAGAAAACATTAAGAGTATTTTCAAGCACACATTGGCTCACTTTCAGCACCCAGAAGCTATTTTAAGTGCTCCATGGAGACAAGCTGGTGTTATTAGGGCACTTTTCTTCCAGAAGACAACAATTCATTTCGAGTCAAATAATCCCATCAGAGGCCTTGGTAAACACCTAAATCAGAAGAAGTGGCTGTGATGATGTCATGTTGGGAGAGATTCACAGGCTGAGCTAAGGCCAGTTTTCTTAGACACCTCAAAAGACAATGAAACCACTTGATGGGCAGTTTTGGTGCTGCGTCTGTCATGTCACAGCAGCTCCCAGAGGGCACCTCTGGAGTCTGAGGAATTGCCAAATAGCACAGGAAAGCTGGTTCAAGACCAAAATTGGAGCAGAAGCCTACAAGATAAGTTTTTTTACCCTACTGAGCAGCGAAGCCATAGCTCAACGAGTCCTAGGAGTGAAACTCTCACCTGGCAGAGCCACCTCAGCCCCAAGAGGAAAGACTTCCATAATTGTCTGGCCTTGACCTCACTTCACCTCTCTTAGTTTCACCCAGCCCAGTGTCCTTACAAGGCATTTTGAGACCCAAATACCAGAAAACATACACAAAGAAAGAGATAATGCTGTTGTCACCCAATGCTGTGTCTCTGTATGATGTGAAGGCATAGACAGTCACAATGAACTCCCTATATCAGAAAGGTGGAGAGAAATATGGGAACAGAAGAGGAAGAAATTGGATTATGACAGTGACAGAGCGAAGAGCAGTAGATGGCAGGGATTTGGAGACATTTGGGAAGCACTCTGATATTGGCATGATGGTCTCAGTAAAGAAAATTGTCAAAAATATGACCAGAGGAAAGAGCCTAATCAGAGTCATCCAAAATTGGTTTATTTTATAAAATATTTCAGGCCCTCTTTTCCCTCCTGTTTTTAAAAGCCTTGCTCTACAACCTGGTGAGGCTGAACAGGGAACTGTAAGCACTCATGCTACTCTGAATACTGACAGACAGAAGAAGCAGAGAGAGGAGGGTGCCTAAATATAGCTCAGAAGGCTCCCACCTCTCCATACTGAGGTTCAGCCTCCACAGCCAGCTCAGGTCAGTGATTATCAGTCAGCTTTCAGCCACCAAGAGATACAAGGCCACATCAAAATTACCAAAGTTTAGGGTAGAAATTATGATAGTTGATGAGGAACTAGGTATAAATAAAATACTTCCAGCAAATTCCCTAAGAAGAGCCACTGCCTGCTCTTTATTAAGTTTCAGTCCACTGATATTTAGCAAGTTTTAATCTCCCAAACCACTGACTCTGGATCCTCAGCTGGAGGAAATGAATGGCTGATCTACCCCACAGCATGATCCAGCCCTGAATTTACAGGTAAACATGAAGCTGTGGACTTTGCTTACATTTCTGTCTCAAAAAAAAAAAAAAAAAAAAGAGTACTTTTTTCATTTTTCTCATTATATATAATTGACTATTTTTGCTTAGAAAAGGGAGTTATACAATTAAATAATCCAAAGATACAGAGGCACAGGGGATGCTAAAGCTGAGGTAACCTGGCAGAAAATAGCCAGCACCTGAAGGAACACATGTGCAATAATCAAGGATCACAACATACTCATGATATCAACACACAGAACTGCAAACTATCGTTCAACAACTGGTTTTGTTTCAAATATGCTCTTGCTCATGGATCATTATGGAGAGAAGTACTTTAGTGAACCAAAAAAAGACTGAACACACAACTGCCAGGCTCCTGTGGTACCTCAGTCTCCTGCAGAACGCAAGTGACTGATGGCAGCGGGCAAATACTCAACAAGCTCCTTTTTTTCCTTGCAGCTAATCCACCACACTTCCAAGTTTCACTTACCTGTCAGGTTCCTCAAGCCAAGTTCCCTGAGTCCAAAGTTGCCATCCTTCCTGTAGTTCAGGAATATGGCCAGAGCGTATCTCTCCTCGTAGAGCTTGGTCCCACGAACGATGCGCAGGTTCTCCAGGGGCAGGTACTCAAACTGGTTCAGAGCCACCAACACATAGCCCGTGACTTCTCGGATAGACTGAAAGGCACAAATGAAACAAGCACATCAGATGTGGCCCATCTTTCATTGTCCTGGATTTCCCAGGCAGGGGATGCTTTAGGACAAGACAAAAGAAACCAAATCATCTGAAAAACAAATTCTGTTTCAACTTAATGATTTCAAGCACATTCCTGTTTTAATTTTAGTGAGTTTACTGGAAGCAGTTGTTTAAAAGGTAGAAAATAAAGAGGTAGCCATTTTTATCAGTTTATTGGAATGAACAGAAATTCACTGTAAGGTATTAAAGTGTCCCCCTGATTTTTTAAGATTTTCTAAGCCTTCTGATGTTTACATTCTTGTAATGAACTTTCTCACACACTTTCTGTAAATAACTTACTGTTTTTCATTCTTTTATGGAGGAGGAGAAATTTGATGGACTGTTGGTTGGTCCAGTGTCATTGGAGAGGTGGCACTTTCACCCTCCAATCCACTGTCACTTTTGGAAATCTATAAGTGTTGGAATCAGAAAACAAACTTCCCTTTTTTCACCTTGAGAGCAGTGGTATGTGTGCTCGTGTTGTTTCATGTCTGATTAAGGACATTAAGGATTCACAAAAGGATGACTTTGCACAACTCAAAGGAGAGAGCAGGTCAAAAGCCTCTGCAGTACATGAACAGAATCCACTGGGGCAACACCACAGCTCAGATGAGATTGTCTGTCTGCAAGTAACTCTGTGTTGTACAGTGTATTTCAGGGTGGGACAGTAGGGACATAACATGGAAAACACCTCTGGAAGAGCTCACCATCAAACAGGAACAGATGGGAGACATGGGGGCCAGTTTGGACGACAAAGCAAAGATAACACACATCTGTACTAACACCCATTTTGTGTACTTTCAAATGGAACTGATCACTGAACATGTGCAAAGATTCATCTCCAACTTTCATCTGGCAGTGCTGGAACCATCCACACCCATATATCCTAGTTTTGGATCAAAACTGCAATCCAAACCTTTAGCAAAATGATTGCTGCACCTTTGAGTTGGCTGAAATCTTTGCTGGCTCTACATGAACTGCTCAATAACCCTCCTGCTCATATTTGGGAATTGATTGCCTGGGCTGGAAAGAGGGAAAAAAAACCCCAAAACCCAATAACTAGAAAAACTTTCTCAAAGTCCAAAAGATTAACAGAACTAAGATGTTGTTAGGAAAAAAAAAATACAGAACACCCAAACCCAGAGAAAAATACTCCCTTAGAAAATAAAGTTCATTCTAAGGAACTGAAATAAACGGCCTAGAAATACCTTTGAAAAATGTCATTTCAACACTCACAACGACCCCACCATCCTCAGCAGGACTTGGCACAGTCTGAAGGATGCTCCTAGACAGACCCTGGAAACAGAATCTCCATACTGGAGAGAGTCTCTTGAGTCTGTTTTTCAGAGCTCACCTCACCCTGTGCCTGCAACCACTGCACAGAGTGGTGTGTTTGTGTGCATGTGCATATTTTAATGGATGGGAATTGATACCACCACTTGTGTGCTTAAGTGGCTGCACTCCCTTCTCCCTTCCCTTTGGCAAAGTCGATACCTTCAACAAAACACTGAAAGAAAAATCCTGCTCAGAGTAACGTGCCCAGACTACAACCAACATGAGGGGGACTCCAGTCGATGCTGCAATGAAAACAACCTGACAAGCAACAGCAGGCAGAGAATTCAACCTGTCCTGTATGCATCATTAATAAAGAAAGGCAGCAATGGATTTGCAGCACCAAGGACAGAATCCTGCTTTGCTGCTTCAGCGCTTTGCCGTGATTTCACATTTAAGTGTGCACAAGCCTTTTAATTAGGCTTATAAAACCTGCAAGGTTATTAATACGTGTGGCAGTGTACATAAGGAACGATTTCTAGGCCACAAGATCCAGGCACTAGCTATCCTTCTGAAGTCAAGCACTTGTGCTCAGGTGAAGCTGCTGAAAAAGCCATTTCCAGGCTTGCTTGGCATCTAAACAAAGCCCACTGTCCTGACAGGACTCTGATGAGAACCCAGCCAGTGGAGGTAGGTTGAGAAGAAGGGTTCAGCAGCTAGGTATTAAATGTAGAGCTGCATTAAACCTTGGGACACTGATTCCATTATAATCAGAAGCTTTGCAGCACTTTCATGATAGCTCTTTGCCTTCAGACATTTGAGCTTAGCCAGTTTGGTCAGGAATTTGCTTTTCATCATATGCAAAAATTTCTTTAAGCTGCCTTTTTTAGCATCTCCTCAGAATTCAGGAAATACTTAAATTACACTCACAGCTTCAGTTTCTCCACTGATATTCTAGGGACACTGTGATTGCTTTAATTAATTTAAATGGATGTTTAACTTGGAATTGAGTGGAAAAAATTAAAAGCAGTTCCAAAATTGCATCTGAACAGGTCCTCCCTGCCAATTGTTGTCACTTATAACCACATTTTCTATTTTTAGGGTATGTCTTGCTGCCAAACAGCAATTCCACCTGAAAGGGCTGCAATTTAGAACAGGACTGAAACGCCACACACACACACAGAGCAGAAAATCTTCATTCCAAACTTGGGGGGGGAAAAAAAGCCAAAAAAAGTCCAAAATAAAACAACAGCCCACCAGAGAAAACAACAAAGCCCTGTTGCTGATAATTGTGAAGTGTCTCAGAAGCCCTGCACTTTTTTTGGTCTTAACCAGCTGAAATGACAGAGTATGGCAAGTATTGTGACAAACCAGAAGGTTCTTTGCAGTCCCATGGCTTCCACCATATTGTAACACACATTTAATTGCTGGAGACATTGCCATGTTCATGCTTGCAATACAGAATTATTAAAATAAATCCAAAAGAGTTTTTAATTTCCTAGGAAACAACCACCTGACAACCAAATCTAGTAGTCTGATACATTTAAGACAGGGTTTCATTTTGGGTTTAAATTCAAACAGGAATGAAAAATGCAGAACAATAACCTGGTTTGTAGGATGTTTTCTGACTGGTCCATCTTGAAAAAAAATGTACTAGCAAGGCAGAAGGCATCTCACATTTCAGCCACTTCTGGCCAACACTGTCATTTGGCCAGGCACGGCAAGTTTTAACATGACTCTGACTCGGATAGACTGAAAGGCACAATTTCTGACTGAAAGTGGACACCTGCCCACTTGGAGCTCACTCCCAGCCCTGCTGGAGTCACTGCAAAGATGCCTGTTGGCTTCTGACTCGCCAGTCCTCATGCCAGATCTCCTCCCCTGCACCTCATGCCAGGGTCAGGCATGATTTGAACCTCTCATCCCTTGAATTCAAGGCTGGACACTTTCCTGAGCAGGTATCCTGCACTCAGCTATCCTAATGCTCTGTTTCAGCTGCTTCATTCCAGCTTCCATCTGTGTTCCCAAGAAGGTGGAGTGGCTCACAACGCTGAGTGCCATCTCCCAGTCTGATTCTCCAGCTGGGGCTTGCAGGCACTTGCAAAAAACATTTCCTGTGAGTCTGTCCCTCAGGAAAAACAAAAACTATCAAGCATCAGCCCCTGGGTAAGGACAAGCTTCCAACAGAAATAAAAGGAGTGTCAGGGGAGGAAAAAGTATTAATCCTTGACTATCACAGTTGAAAGGGCCACAATACACAGAGTATCACCCTACAATTTCAGAAAGCTTCAACCCACACACAGTAACACCTCACCTCTTCAGCAGGCTGCAAGCATCTGCCCTTCTTGTTCTCCAGCCCAGCCTTTTATCCCCTCCTGTTGATGCCCTGCACCTGTGTGCCCTCTGTTCCCTTTCCTGGTTGCTCAGTGCCCCTGGGCACTCCATGGCTCGTTCCCTTCAATAGCATTCACCTGTCCTGCACAGCTGTGCCCACTGGGGATGAGGCTGGGCCCAGCCCCACTCCCAGTCACGATAAACTCGGTGCCTACAAACAATGGGACATCCCACTCAATGTCTTTGGTTCAAAGCCACCCCCTCTTCCCCACAAACTTGCATGGTCTGCATGTCCAACATTATGGTCAGGGAAATGTGCCCTGTGCAACCCCTTGAACCCCAGTGACAGCAAAGCTCACAGGAGCTTCTGTTTTCTGGCTGCTGGTTCTTTAGTTGCCTTGGGTTGTGCTTCAGAAGGAACTTCATGTTCCTTCAGACCTTGGATATGATGCTCTGCATCATCTTTCCTCATGCTAGAATGGTGCAGTTGAGACAACCACAATACACAGAGCATCACCACACAATTTCAGAAATCTCCAACCCATACACAGGAACACCTCACCTCTTCAGAAGGCTTCAGGCACCTGCCCATGCAGAGCAACATCCTAGCACTTCAGAAGGCTGCAAAATCTGCCCTTCTTGCTCTTCAGCCCAGCCTTTTATCCCCTCCTGTTGATGCCCTGCACCTGTGTGCCCTCTGTTCCCTTTGGTGGTTGCTCAGTGCCCCTGGGCACTCCATGGCTCGTTCCCTTCAATAGCATTCACCTGTCCTGCACAGCTGTGCCCACTGGGGATGAGGCTGGGCCCAGCCCCACTCCCAATCACCACAAACTCGGTGCCCACACTTCACATATCTAATGCCTCATGAGCTGCTTAAAAAACACACCAAAGCACAGGGTTCTGATATATTTACCAGGAAAAAAGCCCTTTATCTTCATTTTCAGACAGGAGATGAGCACCTGTACTCCACAGTTTGCTGTCCCTGTGTCCAGCAGTGTCCTACACCCCAGAAACAGCCATGTCAGTCTATAAACCAGTCTCTTAACAGACTCTACATAAAATATAGCCAATTGTTTGGTTTTTAAACCTAAAAATAGGTACCCTGAGATAAGAACAGAGCTAGTGAAGGTTCTGCCCTCCCCAAGGATCCTCCCCAAGATGGGCAGCCCTGCAGAGGCTGAAGAAGAAACTCAAAATGACACCAAAAGCAAAAGGGTTCTTTTTGGAGATTCTTTTTCAGGTGATGAACTAAAACTGAGCTCTAGACAGCCCATTCCCTTAATTACAACTAATACTAGCTGAGCACAGATGAAGCACTTGAAGCTCCCAACAGCAA